GGTCTTACGACATCCGCCAATCTGTCGAACACTGACTGTCGGGGCTCGGGTGCGCAACATTGACACTCGGAGAGGACTGCTGAAATAATCCTCTCACAATGGCAGGAACGATTTGCCTGTTGCATTGGTTTTCTTCTAGAGAGTAACTCTCGCAAGTCAGGGCTTTGAGATTGACTCTTCATCGGAGACTGGTTCTTGGTGGACGTGAATCTTAAACCCACGTCGACTCTCTTGAACTTGGCGGACCACATCGCATTTGGGAGTTGAAATGCGAGGGTCGCGTTGTGATCTATAAACACGAGACCTTGGCCTGCGTTTAGTTGATGAAACAGACCCCTTAGGGTCTTGTTTTGTTTGGACACACTCATGAGGTGCATGTTTTCCCTTAGCAGGGCTATGTTTTGATTGGACAACGCACCACTGAGGGTCGCGTTTAAGCTGAATCACCCGAGGTTCATAATTGGATTCATTACCTCGAAGTGTGCGTTCTGGAGTATGAACGCAATGCTTGGGCAGATCTTCAGAAACACAATTCTCGCGTTGGACCAGGGATTGATTTTCTCGGAGATGTGCTCGTCGGATGGATCTTCTCCGTCTCCGAGCGGCGTTTTTCTTGGCTTGTTTCAAAGCCTTAGCAGCAGCGTTGTCGGCGTTGATTGGGCCTTTCTCTGTCATAGGCCTCTTGCAACCCAGTACACGCCGTGTCGAAATGGGCGCGGGATCTTCAGCTTGCAGAGCGAGTTTGAGGCTTTGGCCAAAGGAGAGGGATTTCTTTGGCGTCTCAACAGCAGTTAAGACCTCTTTAGGGCTCTTATAGGCATCTCGCCTAGCTTTAGGGCTAAGCGATCCAGAGGAGAGGACTTCCTCGTACTTGGCTTGGTCAAACTCCACGACTATAGTTTCGACCGTGGTTCCAGTGAGGTGAACGTCGGATTGCGCCACCACTTCCTCGTCAGAGAAGATAGTCCCCAGCGGAGTCGCCATCTTTTGTTTGTGGAAAAATTTGTAATAAGAAAATGAAGGAAAGAATTATATTTGATTTTATTCTCTCTAACTGCTTAGAAAAAGAATGCTTACAACTCTCTCAACTCTCGATTACAATTGGATTTCCTGATTACAAAAGAGAAGAGAATGAATTTGGATTCTCCCCTTTGTTTAATTCTGGGTTCTTCTTGGTAGCGATGAGATGCCTCCCTCGAATGCTTGTGTCGAGTTTGCTTCTCGTTGACGATCCGAATATCTATACTCACTGGAACAACGGTCTGGTCTGGTTGATAACTCTTGATGAGTTTTCTGTTTCAGAACAAACAACAAACTCTAATAATGATAGAGTTGTTTGAATCGAAAATAATTCGGTTAATGGGCCAAGTAACGACGGTTCGGAGCTCCACCGCTTGTTGATTCCTCAGACTGTGTAAGGAGTCAATCCTCTTTTTCTGATTCTGAAAGATCTGATCTCTAAAGTTCCCCCTCTAGGTGATCAAAATCCGATCCCCACAATCCAAAAATCCCCCTTAACTCTATTGAGTTTGTTGATATTTATAGGAAGATTAGGAGTGTAACTGACCCCTTAATCCGCTCCTAAATGATAGGTTTTGTTACCTCATTAATCGGTTGTAACCACCCATGTAAGCCACTCCTCAAATCAGTTGCCTCATTAAGCGGTTTTCGAAACTGCATTGATCGTGTTTGAACAGGTCAGAACTTTGACATGCGTTCTGGCATAGATTCTATGTTTGAACACAGCATCTGGAGGTGCGTTCTGCGGCGATATTGAGCTGCGTTCTTCTATGTTTGCAGGTGCGTTTGGCAGCAGTATAGAACTGCGTTCGACGTCAGCTGGAGCTGCGTCTGGCAGCGGTTGGAGCTGCGCTCAGTTGCTGATCTGAGCTGCGTTCAGCGCTGATTTGAGCTGCGTTCAGAGGCTGATCTGAGTTGCGTTCAGAGGCTGATCTGAGTTGCGTTTGAGCTGTGCTTGGCAGCGATTGGAGCTGCATTTGAGCTGTGCTTGGCAGCGATTGGAGCTGCGTTTGAGCTGTGCTTGGCAGCGATTGGAGCTGCGTTTGAGCTGCGTTTGAGCTGCGTTGGAGATGCGTCCGAGCTGTGCTTGGCAGCGATTGGAGCTGCGTCCGAGCTGTGCTTAGCAGCGATTGGAGTTGCGTTCGAGCTGTGCTTGGCAGCGATTGGAGCTGTGCTTGGCAGCGATTGGAGCTGCGTTTGAGCTGCGTTTGAGCTGCGTTTGAGTTGTGCTTGGCAGCGATTGGAGCTGCGTTTGAGCTTCTCTGTCTTTATATATGGATGACACCAATGGCCATTCGAGAAGGTCCTATTCAGGCCATTTGTGATAATTGAGGCATCTCAATAACGCTCTATCAACTGCAGGTCACGATCTCCACTAAGATTTCCTTGCATGGTTTAACCATGTACTCCTCAGTGTGTCGAATATCATTACACTGCTTATCAGCATCTCTAATAGTTGCTAATATAATATTAGTCATGTTGTTGTCGTAGCCATCAAGATCAATCATCTCACATAAGAAGTTGCATTCGTGTTTGCAGCAGTTGAAGCTGCGTAGGTGATTGAATTGGTGTTGTGTCTGGACGATGGTACACAGGGAGGACTTCCACGTCTTGGTTTGAAGAGATCGTTGATTTGTAATCTCTTTCTGTCAGAGCGTTGCTAAAGATCGTCGTTTTGTAATCTTTGCTTTAGCTCTTTGATATGTGAAAGTCTTCAAATTGTAGCCTTCCGGAAGTCGTCAGATTGTAACTTCCATCATTGGTGTTTGATGGAGAATCAGATATCTATTATTATTTTTAGACATCCTACAATAGGTCCCCCAAGCAGTGTTATTGACCTGTTCGATGTTGTCGACGTACTTGAATAAATACCTAGGAACGCCGGAAACACTGCTTGGACACCAAATCATGCTCAGCTGATAGAGGATCTGTAGCAGGACAAAGTCCTTCACATCTCGGCGATCAGAAGATAGTACCAGCTTCAAGAGCAGGTCCTCCACATTGCGTCTGGTGGGGCCTCATTTGGGGGGAGCTATACTACTGGAACCCCCCACCTTGGGTTTGTCAAAAAACCTGGACCAAATTCAATTTTCCCTATCCCGATTGTGGTCAACATGAAGCCCCTCATTGGAGAACCATGTATGCTCCATTACCCACTCAAGGTTGAATGAGCATGCGATCTCTTCTCCATCATTCCTATCGGTGAAGACAAATTGTTTGCTTTTCTTGTCCCACTGACTCAAAATGTGCTCAAAGGTGGGAAGATCAACACCAGGTGGGCCAAATTGGACGTAGTGTCTGAATACACTATCTTCGTAGGCTGCAAAATACCTTGGCCCCATACGTGTCACCAAATTCCGCATGAAGTCGTGATAGGCACCGAAGCTGGCGGTGGGTCGCAACATAATAGCTGGCTTTGCCCTTTTTCTACAAAACAAAAACACAAGACGAGAGCATTTTTTAGTATAATCAGTAAACATAATAACTATGCTGTAAACTTTGCGGGTAAACCAACAACCTTAACAACAACCCCATAACCTTAAACAACAAAAACCTAACCTTAACAACCAAAGCCTAACCTCAACAACTAAACAACAACCTCAACAATAAAGGCATAAACCTTGCATGTTAACAGTAACCAACAACCTTAACAACAACCCCACAATCTTATCAACCAAAACCTAACCTTAACAACCAAAACCTAACCTCAACAACCAAACAACAACCTCAACAATAAAAGCATAAACCTTGCATGTTAACAGTAACCTCCACAGCTAACAGACACCCGTAATTTTGGACCTTCTCACCAGACTAGGAGCATTATCAATCAAACCATAACCTTAACAACATAAAACTTGCGATAAAAATTACCTTTTGGGTGCCGCCATGTGCTTCTCTTTTTCTCCTCTCTGTAGACTAAGGAGCGCTCTAGTGGCATCGTTGGACACGCCGGTGGTGCCGGTGCTGCCCTCTAGACCTTCGCGGGGGCCTACACTTAAATTTTGAGGTGGGCTTCTGGGATGAGAATGGCTGGTTGCGATGTCCTCTAGAGCATCAGCAATTGCAGCTCGAGCTTCAGATTCAATCCGCACTGCAGTTGTATGGGCTCTTTCTGAGATTTCGAACCGCCTTTCGCTGTGGTCGGCATTGAGGTTGGCTTTGGGGGTTGAATCGCCGGCCATTTTGATCCCTTTGCTTTGCTTCGGTTTGCGTTGGGGTCGGTTGATTTAGGACTAGGGTTTTGAATTGGGTTTCTGGAGTCGGTTTGCTTGCAGAAGAGAGAGATGACAGGGTACGGACGAGGAGGTAACTCATTGCTTGCAGAAGAGAGAGATGACAGGGTACGGACGAGGAGGTAACTCATAACGGGGAATTTTAAACGTAAGGGTATTTTGGGCTAACTCATAACGGGGAATTTTAAACGTAAGGGTATTTTGGGCATTTCGAGCGGGGTTTAAACGGAGTTATGCCTGGGGATCCGTTTTGGGGGCTGGAAGAAAATCGCTCACGGTTTTGGGGGCAAAGCACCCGTTGAAAAAGTCTTGGGGGGGCAGAGCACGTTTTGTTCCGTTTTGGGGGCTGGAAGCATTTTTCCCTATTAAGATTGATCCATTCTTATAGAAGTTTATAAATATAATGTTAGATGAGAGTTCAGTAATAACTTTAAAAAAATTTAGATCTATTAATTTCCAAGGATCTTCGCCTATTTCTCTTATCTTCCCTTTTTGTTTTATAATATTCTTGATTAAACAGAAAACCATTTGTAGTCATGCGGTTGTCTAGGATTACCTACGTGTAACTTGGTCTTGATATCTATATGTTTGTGCTTTCCTCTCACTCATTTTAATTAATGATGCATATACACAGCTACATTGTGATGAAATATAACTCACATCAAACGTACAAAAACATCCAGCATTTTTATTCGTAAACGTAGGTTACGCAACTTATACATTAGGCTTCACTCACCAAATCTCACTTCACTTTTACAAACTTGTAACACCTCAAGCCTTTATTCAACCACTCTAGTATTTACTACTACTACACATACAACCAAACTCTCCTCCTTAAATTTACACACATCATCCGTATCTCCTCCCTTGAACCCGAGGCTCAAACAAGGCAAGCTCCTCCCCTCTATTCTCCTTCACCCTCCTCGCCTCCTCCGTCGACATCCTGTACGAATTCATGATCACCTCCACCGGCATCCCTTTCAGCACCGAATCCTTGCCCACGATATTGCTGACGATGGCGTTGTCGTTGGTGAAGAACGCGACGTACTCAAACCCCTCTCGGCTTGACCGGATCAGGGTAGCGAAGTGCTGCGGCACCACAACAACTTGGCCTTGGCGGACTTCGTTGTTGTGAACGGTGTTGCCGCGCAGGCCAACGATCTGGAAGCGGGCGCTGCCGCGGGATATGTAGACTATGGCGTGGGCGTTCACGTTCCAGTGTGGAGAGATCAGGGCGTCCTGTAAAGAAGAGGAAACCAAATTTAATTTAATGATCATTGCTGGAGGAATAGAAAAAATATCATTAATTTCAACAAAATATCATTTTTTGACCATATAGAATTACTGAAAAATCATTTAAAAAGCACTAAAAAGATTTTTTTTTTTTAATTTTTTTGTAATTCCTTGAAAACCTAACAATATAAAAATTATGCCATATTAATTCTCTTACCGGGCGAACAACTCCTTTCTCAGCATTCAACTGAAGATACCTAAGAATAGGCAGCTTCTTACTGTTGAGGTGAGTAATCCTCCCTGCATTAGGATTATAGATATCAGCCCTCTCAGGATCATCAATGTTCTCCTTAATTCTCAAGGAGCAAAAAGCCTGCTCTAATCCATTGACAGTTGTTTGTCTTCTTCTCTCCTCTTCGTACTCTTCTCTCTCCATTCTCGAGGGCCTGATAACGCGAAGCTCTTCCTCAACTCTAATGATCTCTCCTCTATTGTCGTTGCGGCCCTTGAGCTTCTCGGCGAGGTCTCTGCTGATTCCCATTACTTCGGCTAAGGATTCAGTTTCGAAGCCATTGAAGATGTTCTCATTGGAGTCCTCCTGGCGGGTGGGCTCTACGCTGAACCTCTGGCCTCGCTGCTTCCTTCCAGCTAGCAAGAATTGCTGCAAAATTCAGAAGAAGTTTATAGTTAGTCACTATAAACTAATTATATTAAGAAAAAAAACTGATACGAGTAGACAAATATGAGATAGAATCACAACTACAACTATGATTGAGTTTTTAGGAGTGGTATGGTCCTTTGACATAGTATAAGAGCAACCAAGATTCAAATTTATATACTCCTCAACTAATACTGAAATAATTACTTTAATCATGATATTCTTTAAATTTTAGGAATGTGATCCAAAATCGAAATGTTTGGCGTATATTTGTGATTTGCATTAATATTTATTTCAGACTTGAAAAAATAAATAAGACACTCTACTAAATAACAAACCCTTGCAATGATGCCCGCTATCAAAAGAATTTAGACCGTACTGGGGTTTCCATCCAAATACAACTATGATTTTTAGTTCATGCTCACCCTGTGATTGCGGTCGAGCTGGTTAGCATTGTTGCCGGTGTCAACGACGGTGATAGCAACAACGGGCTGATCACCGTCGTTATAAGCCCAATGCACAACTCCAGCAGGCAATGCAAGGATATCACCCTCACGGAAGTGGTTGATTCTCTGGTGCTGGTCGCTTGACCTCTGTCCTTGACCACGCCGGCGTTGCGATTGCTGCTGGAATTGCTGGAATGACTCCGGGCATCCGGGCACAACGGTGCCTGAAATCCCTCTACCTGTAAACAAGTAAACAAGCTTCAGTCGAGGACTTATTTGAATAAAATAGTTGGAGAATGGGGAACTGCATCCATATTTCAAACATACATGTATAGTTGGATGTTGTTGCAGAAATCTGACAAAAATAGATCAAGAATAGGATAGTAAAGGGTTTTTTGCGCATAGCCCAATTGCTGCTCTTTAATTGCAGATAGACCCATGAACCTTTATTGTTGAGGACTCGGTCTAGTTCTATCGTTGGGGATCGGAAATTTTCTTGAATCTATACTTTTGACTCTTTTACTCCTCTTAGGAGGTCTATTGGTCAAAATCAATTTTCTCTTTCCGATGGAAAGAGAATAAAAAAGAAATCTAATCATGGTGGTCTATCTACACCAATATTAGACCTGTGGAGTACTCTAAACACAATTGGGCAATAGTACTACAACAGGTCTATTTGTAATTCATCCATTTTTAAAACTAATGCTGACGTTGAATTTAAATTTGTTAGTACAACTTTTGGAACTTATGTGAAGTGGGAATTTTGGTGCGGTGGAAGGTAGATTTTGACATCATATCAAATTAATCCAGTTTCAAATGTTATTATGACCACCAATTCAAAGCGGATTTTTTTAAAAAAATGCAGTTTTTGGCCCATTAAACTGAGCCCTCGCAATAAATCAAAGTTTTTAAAGACGTCTTGAAGCAGGCTTAGTATCAAAAACTACTTCTAATCAAACACACCTGAAAACAATCGTCATTATCAGTAAAAAAAAAGTAGCTTGCCTTGAAGAATGTAGACAAGGCGAGGAGCATTGAAGAAAGAAGGCGGCAATAACCCTCTAGGCTGAATAATCCGGCGCTGGAACGCGACACCGGCACACTCAAACTGCTGATCATTCTCATCAAACAACTCAGTAACCCCGGCCTCCGACTCAACGCGGTGGCTGGGCTCCTGAGCGGTAATCCGCTCGATATTACACCGGTTTCGTCCCCGGAGGCGGCGCTCAGTCACGTACTCAATCTGGGCGTGGGCTAAACTTGAGGTTATCAAGAGGAAAGAGATTGAGAGGAGAGAGGTTACGGAGATTGCCATATCGCTTTGAGGGGTGCGGAGAGGGGAGCTAACGGGCTGGGCCTTTTATAGAGGAGATGGGGGCCACGTAGGTAGAGTGATGAGGGGGTAGGGTGTTGACACATTTCGCCGTGCATGGGCTTGAGAGAGGTCGTGATGCCGCATAGGGTACGGCTTTTGGTGGGCGTGGCGTACGCGTGGATGAGGTTGGTGGCGGGGGTACAAAAGGCAGGAAGCGGTGGGGAAAGGAAATACTTGGAATGTTAACGCAGGCCCAAACTCCCATTCGCCCGGCCGTTAGCTCGTTGCACGCGTTGAGAAAAGAGAGAAGGATAAATCGTAATCAACCTATTTATTGATATCTTATTGTTAGATTTATTTCCTAGTCCGGATAAAGTTTCAAGAAGCGGTGGGGAAAGGAAATACTTGGAATGTTAACGCAGGCCCAAACTCCCATTCGCCCGGCCGTTAGCTCGTTGCACGCGTTGAGAAAAGAGAGAAGGATAAATCGTAATCAACCTATTTATTGATATCTTATTGTTAGATTTATTTCCTAGTCCGGATAAAGTTTCAAGATTAATTAAGAAAGATTAATCCTTTTATTCTCTTCACTCAGATTTAATCACATCCAGTGTATATGTAAATAATTCCTACATATGTTATAAGATACTCATTATTCGTCTACTTAATTTCGAAATCAATTAGTAGCCCGGAAGTAAGGAAATTTTTTGTCATGTTAGAGTTTAGAGTTAGAGCCTGAAATTTTTATCATGTTAGTGTTTAGAGTTAGAGTCATGTCTATGGCAATAGCCTGAATAGTAGCTTAGTAGGGATGCTAAACAGTATCCGTATTTAAAAAATATCTGTAACCGTATCCGTTAGGATACGAATATGGTTACTCAAATCTATAACCGATAGAATATGGTTTCGGATATGATTTTGTAGTGAAATATCTGGATCCGTATCCGAAATATCTGAATACATATTAGTCATACTGTTACGATAGTTTTAATCTTTAGATTATGGATTTGAGGTTAATTTTGATAATCAAGATATCTAATATTAGCTTTTCAGATATAATGAACACTTTTGTATTACATGAACTATATTTTTTTAATACTATCCAGTTTTCTCATATTCGTTTTGTATTTTGCATGCATATCCGCTTATATATCTGTTATCCATATCCGATTTTAGCGGATATGGATACGAATTTTCCTTACTGAGACATATTAATATCTGTATCCGTATCTGAGATGGATAAGAGGATATGGATACCGTAAGC